TTCCCTACAAACACACTGCCTGCAGCATTCAGTGTGCATGCCTGTAGAGACTTTGCTGTTTCTGTCAGTTGGTGCACTTTGCTGGCAGCAGAGCTGAAAACTTTGGGGAAAAAATACAGTTCCTTCTTTCTAAATCACTAGAAGGTGCAATCCTTCGTCAAAGGATAAAAATCTGACACGTTTTCCAGTATTGCATGTATTAAAATCAAAGTAGATTAAGACCCAAGCAAACACAAACTGCAGAAATCCCAACAAAGCGTTAGCAAGTTCAAGTTTGAAAGCCAGGAGCATGTTTGTCAAATCACTCCGGTGAACACTCTTGACAGCAGTGACTGTAAGGTGAAACAACTCAATCGCATTAGGAGAACTGATGTTTTAAAGGGATATGGAATGCATTGCAGAAAGTGCCTTTTCTGTTGTTGACAAATCATTTAATCACTAACACCACTTTCCTTCTCTTCTTTGTAGGTGCAAACAGAAAAGAAAAGCTGCTGCAGCTGATTGCCACTCTGCTTGTGCTACAGTTCATACGGTGCAGAAAGGAACTGAAAGGAATAGTTTTCAAAACACTGATGAAACTGGATGGCTCATCTAATTCAAGGTGTGCTTTTAATAAAATCTTAGAATGTAATGTAGCAATATAAATGTCAACAAACAGAAGATCAGTTTTGTTATGCAGAGTCAATGACAGTGCTACAGGATATGGCTGTAGAAGAGGGAATGAAAAGTAGTAACATTGGTGGAATGTGTTTTCTTATAAGAGGATGGAGGGAAGAAGGAATGCTTTGCAAAATATGATATAAAAATTGAGAATTACAGAAAGTAGTAAAAGATATTTTATCCTTATTAGAATCATTGAATAATTCAGGTTGGATATGAACTCTGGAGCTCATCTTTCTTAAATCAGGGCCAACTCAGATGGTGGCTAAATTGTTCAGGATCTTGCCCAGCTGAATTTAAACATCTTTAAGGATGGAGATTCGTCAGCCTCAACTTTTTACAGCCAACCTTTGCCAGTGTTTAATATCACTTAGTTTAGAAATTAGGAAAACAAAAACTGTTGGATTTTTCGTTCACGACACCTGTGCCTGTTGGCCTGCTCCCTTTTACAGGATTATATTTATGGCTTGGTACTTTTCACAAGCACACAACATAAAATATTCTGGACAAACTCTTCAAATTATTAGAGCAGATGATTCCGTACAGCCCAACTTCTACCTTATCCTTTAGCCATTGGGAATGCAGGTTCTGGATCATTCTGAACCCTGCCCCCTCACTTCTGCATGTCCCCATTCTCTATCATCTTTTGAATATAAGGTCTCTGCATCTGGAATTTCCCTTTTTTAAGGGAGTGAAGTGAACAATTATCAGCTGGCAAGAGGAAAGACAAAGGTCTTAAAAAGAAGGGTGAAGGAACAGGCCTCCAGTGAATCCGGATTGCCCCAGCCACCAACTGATTCCTTGTGCCAAAAAGGGAACCTTTACACACTTATACTTTACAGGGCATGAAGGATAAAGAAACAGTAAGGAGAGCCCTGGAAATCTTCCTCCCTCTTCTGAAATTCCTTGACAGGGGAAAAAACTGCTTGTATAATTTTGGCTGCTCTAGTCAGGAACACAACTGAAATTGCAGATGGATGCAATGCTGGATGAAAGCAATTCTACCATATGTGAATGTACAAAGGAGGAGTCAAGTTGACCTTTATGAAATGCATAGACCTTCACTTTGGTGATTGGAATAGTGCAAATGCAAGTAATGATTATGAGTTATATATTTCCCATATGGAAGATTCTAAAAAGACAGGGAAGATGGTGATGTTTTCTGCATTAGATAGTATTTTATGCAATCTGGATCATAGTAGTATAGAAAAAATTATCTGTCAAAGAAGTATCGTTAGAAGGAATTATTTTCTTCTAGCTCCTTTGGTGGATTTACAAGGGTTTATTATAATAATAGAATTTTGTTTCTACATACAGTGGTGTTCATTGGGCCTTTGAGTTGATCACAAAAGCAACAGAGTGGGTAAGAAGAGCTGAGAAACAATTTCCATCTATTTGCTATCGACTTGAACTTGGGGAAGACTGGGATTCTGCCACCAAAAAGATACTGGGTATCAAGCTTATCTGACATTAATTATCTTTCTACTTAAAATATCACATAATTCTTTAAGATAATGGCAGAGTTAGCTTTCCTTGCAGTTTTCCATAAAAAGATGAAATTTATGACAATTGATTTTATATTATTAGTGAATAATAATTCTGATAGTCACAGACTTAAAGGTATGGAAGTAAAGGGCCTTGTAGTTAGTAAGTCTTGATTTTACATATATGTACTATTTTACTTACCTGTAACTCTGTTAAAAATACCTTAATATTTCAGGGTTTTTTACATTAATCACTTTGGTTGATTTCATATCATAAAAGTACTTTTATAATATCTGTGTTTTGATTTCTCCTAAAAATCTTATGTACTTTTAAAATGGCAAAGCAAGCATACTTCAGTAATGCAGTGAAATATTGCAGATGTGTTGTCAGATAAAAGAATGTGATCAACAAAGAACTAATAAATGTCTTAATAACGTATCAGCTGGTGGTTTTGTAATTCTAACATTGTGCCTTGAAATGCAAACAGCAAAACAATTATTTATCTCCTGCACTGCTTTTATTATCAGTCATAGGTCAATTTGTGAAGACATAGGTCAGTTTTGTTACAAGGAATGAGTTTTGTGGTTTGTTTTTTTTCCTCTTAGTCTGTATTCTGACTTCATTCTGACAACCTAAGTGATAAGTTTTATTGTATACTGGGCCAAACACTGAAACCTATAAAGAAAACCAGATTAAAAGGGATTTATTTTAATTTAACAGGCTTTTTCACACATTATCTCTTCTAAATGAAGGAGCTGCACAGAATCACACTTTGGTACGTGGTGATGTGAGGCAATGTAGTTAGAGAGGTGCACTGAGGTGGGATCCAGTGTGCACAGAACATGGTCTAAGCTGGTTTGTCCAGCCACTGGAAACACTGGGAAGCAGGCAGTTCCACAGCCAGCACAGGGAATGTTGCACTGCCCTTGAAAACAGTACTCCCCAGCAGTTACAGGGAAGGGTTGGAGGAGGTTACTAAGGAAAATTCTGGAATTTCTTTCGTAGATGTTTTCCTGAGAATTTAAGCAAACATCTGCCAAGGATGGAGTAGATGTAGTGGGTCTTGTAGAGGAGGTTGCTACGACTGATACACTGAGGTCCTGTTTCTAAAGGGCTCCGAATCCCAGTTCTCATGTGTGCAATAATACTGGCTCTTCTTAGTGAATAGCACAAAGGAAACTACACTTTCTGTTTGAAAAGAGCTAGGATGTGGGTTTCTTAAGAGCTGAAGAGACTCCTTAATGTAGACAGTGATAAACTAGCTTCTGAATCTTTTGTTAAGTCTTTGTAAGGTCAATGGCTGCATTACTAGAGTTACCTTAGAAAGTAAGTGCTGCCAAAAATATGAATAAAAGAAATAACTTATTTTTTTTTCACTGCAGTTAATTATGCCATAAAACATATAAGTATATAAAAAGTTAACTATAAAAATTGTGTTTTCACTGCTGTGAAACAGGGTACCTGTAATTATACGTGCACACTAAAGCCTGAGATTCATTTGAGTGTTGGGAATTCTGTGAGAAATCCTTTCTAAGATACAATGAATTAATACTGCGGCTGTAGCAAAGGCAATTAAATAGGCCAACAGGGTGTGGTTTATTCTTCTTATCTCCTGCATGTTACATAAGAGCAGTTGTGCCTGCCTACAGGCCAGTGTTTTAACGGAAATTCTATTAAATTTAAAAGGCTTTTTTCCTAATGAGAAACCCCAGCGGGGACTCGCCCAAGGGGGTCCATGTACATCCTTCCCGCGTCCCCCTAAATCCCACCCAGCTGAGGGCACTTCGTACCGGGATATTCTGCGCGTTCGTTGCATTTGGAAAAGCCGAGCCCGCCCGGGCACCGCATCCACGGCCTCGGGGGCTCCAGGCCCCGCAGGCCACTGCCTTCCG